AATTATTTTGCATTTTCTAATTATAGTTTCAACTTGCCGTCGACTCTGTTATCCTTTCCCTCCACATTCAGTTTCTAGACGCTTTATTTATTGTTATTAATCAAAGAGAAGCTTATCAGTTTATTATGATGTTGTGAGGAAATTTTTTAAAATGAAGACGTGGTGATGAAAAATAAATATGTGGGCCATTATGATTCTTGCTGTATATTGGAATAACCTTCGTCATTCGAAAATACTTAATAATCTTCTTTTTGTTCATTTGGTTTAATTTACATGATCAGATAGTGGGTAAGGCGTTGATGGCATGTGCACCTGAGCTTCCTTCCACAGAAACCTTCGGCTAAATACAAGGCCATGGTGGTTGAGGAACACACAAATGCAACATAATGCATCAGAAGCTTGAAAGACATTTTCCCAAGGATACTGCTGGTTTTATAGACGAAAATGAGTACAAAGCTGGCTAAAATTGGTCTTATCAATTCGAAGCAATATCTTCACTCATTTGAAAGAATTAGGGCAGTATGTGCGCAACGCGCAGAAAATTATTATATAAATAACACTAAATAATACCATTTAAAAGCGTAAACTATGAATTATCATACATATTTGTTAAAAAGATATTTTTTTTTGTTTTAAAACCAGTCGCTATATTGATAAAAAAAAAATCCCAGAACATATTTGCATAAAAATTCTTATAAATTCATATGTGAGAAATGAAAATCAAATTAAACATTAACTATTAGCTGAATAGAGAAATAGTATTATTATAGATATAACTCTTCTGCTTATACATAGCTACATTGAAATACATACATATATATATATATATACATATGTATTTCAAGAAAATTATACATATGTATGTTTCAAGAAAATTGAACAACATGATCATGTCTATACAACAAAACACAAGAAACTGCCGATATAATCGCCGGAACAAGAAGAAAAAGACGGTGTCGTTGTCCCACGACGACTTTGCAACGATTAAAATCATCGGACTTTTCTTCAAAAATTGTATCTAATGTCGGAGAGACTGAACATTTCCGGCGAGAAATCATCGGCTCCGGTCTCATTTCAGCTCCGGATAAAAATCTTGTTCTTGCTAATTCTGATCTAACCATAATAATGAGCTCGAATCTTTTCAAGTTTTTTGTGTTCTTGTTCTTGAAAATGTTTTAAAGAGAAGGTCGTTATGAAAGTTATTTGGTTTCTAAATAATAATCTCAATGGTGAATTCTTGGTGTATATATAGAGTCTAATGCACGGCGACAAATATATTCAAAACACGGTTTTAATTTGTTTAGAAAAAAAAATTTAAGAAAAGTAATTAAAAAAACAGATGGATCAACGGTTGTCTCTGGTCCAAATTTGAGCTAGTGGTCTGTATGACTACACACGTACACTCCATTTGATATTGACAAAATTAGAAAATTGTAAAAGTAACGACAAAAATCTTCTCTATTATTTGGTGATGCAGAGAAACAAACACAAATATCAAAATTTCTCTCAAATATCTCTTGGAAACAAACATAAACGTCAAAAATTGCATTTATTGTTGTGAAATATGATTAGACCGTTTTGATTAAGTTTTTGTTTACAAAACGGTTCAGTATTGTAACTAGACCGTTTTGTACCAAAACCTAAAGTGTGCATAACGGTTCAGTATTGTAACTAGACCGTTTTGTACCAAATCCTAAAGTGTGCATAACAGTTGATTAAAAAAATTCTAGAACCATTTTTTACAAAAACAAAGACGTATTGACTATACCTCTAATAAAAAAACAATTACTAAATTTTAAGATAATATATAATATGAATTTTAAGAGTATCATTATTGAGTTGATGATCTATGTAGTTAACTATACTTGTAGCATTCACATTTTCAATTATAAATATCATAATATCTGTCGATTGGTAAAGATATCTAATGATTATTTGGAATCTTTCGAGTTTGGTCATATAAACTTATAAAATAATATTTTTTTCAAAATATTAATAGATCAATTAAAAAAATAATATCTAAAAGTATTTAAATAATATCACAACTTGAGATTATGAGAATACGACATGAGAATAAGAAACAAGAAATTTCGAAGAACTATATAAACAGTGGTTTGAAGTAGTTTTTAGTATCGGTCCCATTTGGCTTTACGAGTCTTGTTTGGTTAGCTGTATCTTGTACGTGGACTAGAGCAGATTTTGATTTTAAAGTTTGTGAAACAGTCAATATCTCTTTTATAACGTCTAGAAGTAATTTTCTTTTCATTCTATGGATACAAATAACTCTTTATTCCTTTTTCACTTTAGACTAATGTCTCTTTTGATCCCCAAAAGTAGCAAAAAGTATATTTAAAGGGTAACACATTTATTTAAGAAATTAAAATAGAATTCAAAAAATACTTTACCTTTAGTGGATAACAAGAACCTATTTTT